CCCCCCCCCCCCCCCCCTTCATGACAATGCTGTGAGATAAGAGAAAGTTGTGAAAATTAAAAGCCCACACCTGAAATGTGGTCAGACAAGATCAAATAAAGATAGATATGGAATTTCTCTTCCCGTGTTCAAATAGGCCATTCAGTACCGAATTACCTTCAGCCTCTTTCTCAAAGCGAGTCTTGGTGTCCATCCTTTTATATGAAAATTAGATTTCGAAGGCATTCACGTACAAATCATGTAATTTCATGTGAATAGCTGTGCGCCAGGCATCGCTTTGATAGAGAGGCTTAAAGCAGCTCCGAAATGGACTAGTTAGTTGAACATTCGAAGTGGAATTCAATATCCACGCGCACCCATGTATAAATTCAAAAAATCCAAAAACGGACATATTTATATATTTATTACATGCGGGGTGCTCTCATTATGCCAACACCCGAGGAAAATGGAACGACATATTCCGATCAAACCGGGCCAACCAAGAAGAATCGGACTCTTACCATTTTTTATAACTTTTCCAAATTCCCATCATAAGTGAAGAGAAGTAGGGCAGTGGATAGGTTTGTCAAAAATGGAACGGCAAATTTCGGTCGGACCGGTGCGACCGAAATGAGTGTACTACCTCCAGTGGTGATCCCGAATATTGCGGTCGGAAGAAATTTCCATTTGACTTCCGAACGAAATTTTAGGATTCTTTGGCATAATGGAAAACCCGCGCGGTTTTTATGTGTTGGTGCACTGTAGCATGGCAAGCGAGATGATGGAAAGTTTTCCTCTTATTTCTACCAATTAAGCAGATATTGTTGGAAGGATATTTTTTCCATCTTGCTTTTTAGTAGCTGCAAGCGAGGTAAACGGAAGTGTCGTGACAGCGTGACATTTCATAAGTGGATAGCCGGTATAAACACTGGACGAATGTACCAATGTTAAGTAACTTGACCTTAGTAACTGTTTACCTTGGTAAAAGCTCAAATGTAAACACAGCATTAGATCACGAGATTCGTAAACATTTTAATCGGAGGCACGAGTGATTGTGAAATAGATTTTTATCGAGAGAACACAGAGAATAGGACGTGTTGAAATCCTGGAAGAGAATTAAACACGGATTTGTTGCTGAGTACGAGTGAGTTGTGAGTGTACCCCACAAGTTTGGTACAGAGGTAAACTTTTGCTTATCTTTAATAATATTAGTTTGCAAGGAGTTGTGATTTTTTTCAGCGCAGTAAATTGTACAGACTTTCCCTGGGCCGGGCGGATGGGTTTTATCCCCAAACAATTGCTCAAAATAAGCAGTCGTCCAGTCCTTCGATGCTATGGGGGAACTATTTAAAAAAAAAAAACAACAATTAAGAGCCTGGTTTCCCGTGAGACAAAACAACGGACAACTGGGAGCCAAAAAAAAAAAAAAAAAAAAAANAGCTTGATTGATATAATTTTGCTGAACAGAGCAGGTATAACCCAATCTCACCTGCACCAGCAGCCAACCAAAGCTTAGGAATTAGTTCATCTTCATCTTAATTAAAATATAAGAATTGACTAAATAAAAAAAAAAAAAAAAAAAAAGATACAAATTATGAATCTTTCGTGGCGGTGCTTTCGATATATCATCTTTATAGTTACCTAAAATTCGCCTCACTTGAACGTTTCCCTGTTTATATTTCGATGTTAATCGATTTTACATAATCAACATTTTGATACGAAAATTTGCGAGGGAAACTTTCATTCATATCTGGAACTTCAAAATCCGTTTTGATACAGACGGAATAACTACTTGCGCGGAATTTCACGCACGAAAGAAAGTCGAAAACTTTTGCTGTTTGCTCTGCCAAGTGTAGCATTTACTGAATAAAATGTTAACCTTCAAAATTAAAAACTCCAAAAAACAAAAAAAGAACAGAAAAAAGAAAACGCAGTGGCTCGCAAAAATAGGCTCGCGGCTCCGGCTCGCGGGCTCGCACAGAGTTGTAGCGTTATACGAGCCAACCGCGGGCCCAAGTCAACCTCGAGTCACGAGTCAACCACGAGTCAAGCCAATTTTTTTCTTTTTTTCTTTTTTGTTTCGTCCCGAGAAAAAAAATAGATTGTAGAAAATAAAATATATGAATATAGATGGTCTTAGCAGTTAACAACAGGACATTTTAATAACAGGCTCACCTCGAATCGCGCCGCGCGCCCAAGTATCCTTACGCAATTGCAAACATGGTGGCAAGTCACGTTATTTGCTGTGTCCATTGCAGATTATCAAGGTAGTCTTATCCAAAAAGTGAGTGACGTGAATCTAGTTGACCATCTACTGACAGAAAAGTTGAACGATAACATGCATGCCACGCCTGCGCGAGCGGTTGCCTCTTACCGGAATTTCGTGCCGCGATCGAGGTGAGCCTGTTAATATTGTTACCTGCTAAGACAATCTGCTATTTCGCGGTTGTAAATAAATCGCGAAATCAAAGACCCGCGAACAAAAATCCTTGCAAAATTTAAACACGCGAAATTTAACACCCATATAGATAATTCAAATCACAGAAAAAAAAAAGATTAACATGTAATAACAACATATACAGGATGTGTATCGACAAATTAATACACAAACTATTAGCTGGTTTTACCTGTAAGTTCCATTTTTTATCTTCTGTTGTGAAATGACAGAACTACGTACTGAGACAATGTGTATCACGGTCAAGTTGTAAAAAGTTAATTTCCAAATATGCCTTTTGCTTGTTCCAGTTTACCTTAAAAGGTAATTTGTAAAAATACGTTTTGCTTGTTCCAGTTTATCTAGGAATTTTAAAAAGTTCAGACTTTTGAAAAATAAAATGAAGTTGAGAACGCTTGAATCGCGAAATTTAATGACCTTTTCGCGAAATTAAGTACCCACGAAATTAAGTACCAAAAAAGTTATATTCATATATTTTATTTCCTACAATCTACATTTTTTGTAGGGACAAAAAAAAAAAAACTGGCTTGATTCGTGTTTGACATCGAGGTTGACTTGGGCTCGCGGTTGGCTCGTGTAACGCTACAACTTCAACTCGTACATATTCGTGCAAATCTTGACAACATTCATTAGTGGTTGGTTCCCAATAAGAAGGCTGGCCCTTAAAAGTGTCAAGAGCTAACCACTGTTAAATCAGTGCTCTTAATTAGGCTAATATCACAGTGTCATTTAATCATTTAGCATCATTGTTTAGGCCTAGCTCGCCCGGGGGGTGTCGACTTCGCATATGAAAGGGTGGGGATGCTCGTTGGAAATTTTGAATTAAACCTCTAAAGGAATCCAATCATGGCATGGCCCAGGATTTTTTGACCCCTAAAAGAGACCATATTTAAAACATACTAAATATATATTTTTATATTTCTTCGTGTGAAACCATAAACGAGACCTTCACAGCTAGATATGGGCTACATATGGGCTACATATGGGCTACATATGGGCTACATATGGGCTACGTATGATGGTGTTTTGCCCAGAACACCCTAAGTGAGACCAAAATCTGAAATTTACACCCCTAAGCGAGACGACGAGCATCCCCACCCCTTTCATATGCAAGTCCCTTCCTCCCCCCCACCCCCAACTCCCCCGGGCCTAGCCTCGCGCCTAGTCTGCAGCAAGCTGCCCTGTAGCCGAACTAGGTAGGAGCTTGCTTCCAGGCTATGATACCAGGGCTATGAAACTGGGAGTGCTACTTCAACCATGACTATTCACTATAATTTTGACTATGTGTCATTATTCGTTGGTTTGTATTCAGTACACTCTTTTGTGAAAAAATAGCAGATTGCTTCTTTTAGCTGTCAGAGAGGGATTTAAATATGAGAACAAATTTGCTTGTCACTGACAAGTCATGATCTTTTGTTCAACCTTGTCCAAGACGTTTATTTTCCAGGCCTTAAAAGAGGCTTAAGTAAATGAATGAGTGATGCTAACTACTGACCCTATTTCATCTGATGAATGTTTTCACTGTCGGTCAGAAAAATCTTGAACAATAGAGCGGTTGTCATTTAAGTGGCGAAAAGTAATTGGTTTTGCATCAACTACGCTACACGATTGGCTTAAAAAAAACTCGTGCCACTTTTTCATTCAATCAAGTAAAACCAAAACCAATTGTGACTCGCACTCATTTTCCTGTGATTTGCGTCAGCTACATGTATTTGCTTTGAGCTTTGATTGATTCACTGGATTGTCTGTGTCTTTTGTGATTGACTAGAGCGATTACTTTGGTTTTGGTTTTATGACACTCAGTTGAAAACTGCTCTAACTATTTAATGACAAGTTGCAAGAAATGGCATAGGATAAGAATAAAACCATAAATATAATGATTTGAAGGGCAATTTAGGTGAAATGTAAGCATAGGAAACTTTGTCCACCATCCCTTATCATATAGTGTTTCAGGTGAACATGTCTTCTTTCAGAATGAATTTTAATTAATTTTATTTTGCCATAATTTTTTTTTGTGGAACTACATGTAATTTCAGCCACCAGATGTAGTTTTAAAAGTCTATTGTAACCACTCTAGGATGAAGCCAAGAGCCAGTTGCTGGTACATTTCACCAGTTGAAAGACAGCTTATCACTAGATTAGTATTTCCCTCTTCCCCGGTGGGGAGTAGGGCTGGAAAAACAAAGGGGTAACTTTGGAGTTGTTTTAAATGTGCACATTGGCAGGTCAGAATAAGCAATGAATGATTAACTCTGAGACAGCTGAGTCTCTGAGACCCTTGTTTGAGACTCTGAAACTGAGATGTAAACTATTTTAGACTTAGAGACAGAGAAACAAAGAAAAAGAGACTTCCACGATTGTGTGGTTCCAGAAAATATCCATATCCACCCTAAAGAGGGGTGTGGAAATTCCTCAGGGGAGGGGGTCTCTAAAGCCACAATTTTTATAGGGAAGTATGAACCAAAACTGGAATTTCCAGAGAGGTGGGGAGCAGCCTTCAACAAATTCTGGGATCGGATCAAAGTTTTTTCAAAACCCTAAATATCGTACACATGTAGCAACCATTTACGACCTTTAGAACAGACTTGGTGGATTATAAATGAGCCTTCTTAGCTACCTCCTTGCCGATTATATTGCAAAAAGTGTTGTCTGGATTCATATTTTGCATCTATTGATCCCGTGGTTGTTTCATTCCAAAACAGAAAGATTAGCCAAGGAGCACAAGGAGTGTAAAGTGGGAAGCAACCTGAATGCTGGTGAGGTAACCTATCAACAGTAAAGATCTGGGAAAGAAAAAGAAAAGAATGGATGGAAAAGAAGGATTTGATGGAAAGTCAAAGGAATGGCTTGAAAAGTTTTATTCTCCTAGTAGATGGAGCAAACGTTTGACTGCTGACAAAGTCGTGGAATATCACTTCAAGGTATGTACGGAATACAGTGAAACTACACGGCAAAGTTTAAATGGCGAACTGAGCATAGCTTACGGTGAGAAGAAAGCCAAGATGGACATATTTTATCCCACTGCAATGATTGATGATGCTAGATATGCAAACAGTGCCATGCCCGTTTTGCTGTTTGTTCATGGTGGATACTGGAAGTTAGGTAGCAGGAAGACATACGCCTTTGTGAGTAATGCTTGGATAAAAGCTGGATGTATTGCTGCAATTGTGGGTTACAACCTAGCACCAGAAGCCAGCCTGGAGCAGATGGTGACCGAAATCCAAGCAGCTGTGAAGTTTGTTGTTAACAGGTTTCCTAAATCAAATCTGTTTTTGTGCGGCCATTCTGCTGGAGCTCATTTGTGTGCCATGATGATGGTCTCAGATTGGAGCAAAGATCCATGCGTTCCCCAGGCTGTTCGTGGTATGTTTCTCATCTCTGGAGTTTTTGATGTACTTCCTATTCTTGGCACTTACGCAAATGATGTATTAAAACTGGATGAAGAATCTGCTGCCAGACTCAGTCCACAAAGGATTTTGATGAAAATGTCGCCAACAATTTGCTGTCCTGTCAGGGTTGTGGTTGAAGAGCATGGCAGCCCAGAGTTTATTCGGCAGTCTAAAGAATTTGCTGACATCTTGAAGAGCTATGATGTTCAGGCTTCTTTTCTTGAGTTGCCTGGAGTAGATCACTTTGATATAATTGAAAATATGATGAATCCTGAGGATTACCTATGCAAGGAGATCTTAAAAATTGTCCAAGAGTAAGAAAGGAAAAGGGAAAAAAACAGGAAAATTACCAAACTATGGCCTTTGATTTTACTATGTACAACTACATGTATGCCACTGTCAGGTTCCCTTTTCTACAGGATTATATCATTCATAAATCAATTTAGGGTGTAGCATTTTCTTTTTCCTTTTAGTAAATTCTGCGACGAAAAACAAAGAAAACAACTTGTTTACTTTGATCATCAAAATGTAAATTCTCTTTGCTCGCACCATCGTGATTATGTCAACACTGTGTTTCTATCGAGTTTTGTTATAAATCTACGGGCATTCTATCACAAATGCCATTCTCTGATTAGCTACGCTACCCAACATCTATTCTGTGATAGATAGTGAGTAGTGTAGCAGTGTGCCCTTGCTAACAAAGTAACGGCCGCTTCAGGGCATATTCGAAGTGTCTGTGAAGAGGATTTATATAAAGTTTTGAACGACTAGTAGATTTATGCGAAAACAATTAGATTATTTGCTCTTGATTTCTATGCGCGATATTTGACTTGGGCTGCGCCCTTGTCAACTATCTCGCGACAGAAATCTCAAGCTCATAATCTAATTGCTTAATAGAAACACGACTTTTAACCAATCAATACAGGTGTTTTCGTGGGCTATTTTCTAATGTTAAGTAGAGGTTCCAGTGTAGAGCTCTATATGGGTAATTGGAATCCATCAAATGTACTTGCCCACTCGTAATTAGTCTGAATGCATCGCATGACTGAATATGCCCTAGCTAAAACCGAGGAATATTTGAGTGATATTCCCCAATTTTCAAAACTGTGTGTGCTGCGAAAAAAAATTGAAAGATAGCTTTGATGCAATAATATGCTTGCACATTTGTCTTTGGACAATATATATGTTCCTCAAAGCTCAAAGTTTTTGACAAGGTTTGCTCTTGGAAAACTGTTCACTTCGAATGTTCGAATTTGTTGTATAAAATAAACGTCAACTTAGAGATAGGGTTTGTACTCCTTTTCCTAGAAAAATAGTTTTAAATTGAATAAGTTAAGTAGTTGAATCTTGCTTTATGTTCTTCTTTACCTTAGCCTTTTAAATCTTAATCTTATATAGCTTTTGCATCCTAGTAAGATTTTTAATAAATTTTAATTACGGTTTTTTTTCATAGATTTTTAATTGTAGATTAATATATTTCTTGGATGGCCACAAGTTCATTCCCATTTGAGGGAGGTGCGGTGGCTTCATGGTTAGTGTGCTTGTGTCTGGATTGAGTGGTCCGGGTTCGAGCTCTGGGTGGGGATATTGTGCTGTGTTCTTGGGCAAAACACTGTACTCTCACAGTGCCTCTCTCACCCCAGGCGTATAAATGGGTACCAGCAAACTTAATGCTGGGGGTAACCCTGCGATGGACTAGGATTCCATCCAGGGGGGAGTAGAAATACTCCTGGTCACTCCATGCTACAGAAACCGGGATAAGCTCCAGCCTGATGGGCCACTTGGCTTGTATGCAGACTTTACCTTATGAGTTCATTAGTTTGATAACTATTGACACCTCTGTCGAAGTTTGATTGATTGTTTGATTGATTAACTGTCAGGTGGCTTGCGCAGTTGACTATTTGCTATTGATACCATTAGCTGTGATGTTACCATCATTGTTGTCAATCTTAAAAAAAACTCCTGGCATGGTAGATAAATGTTTTGTTTCACATGTTTGGCTTAATGGATTACAAGAATTTGTCTCCTGTAGTCTGCAAAAAAAGCAAAGTAAAAATTTTGAAAAAAAGAAAATGTTGTTGAGTGCTTTACGTAATATTATTTACATATGGGTTGTTGAAAATGACAAACAGGCAATCTGCACACCCACAGACCTTACACTGTAACAGATGTTAACAAAATTCTTAAATTAAGATGATTCCTCAGAATTGCATTGCGCATCCCTACTGCGCACGATTTTCGCGTCATTAGCGCGTGCTCGCGAGCGCGTGAACATACACAAAATGGTGGCTTTTTCTAAACGGCTTGGCTTGCGAGAGACAAGTCATCGTTTTTTCCTCGGAAACGAGTACCAGGACCTAACGATTTCCTTATTTAGTTTGAATGCAGAGGTCACCTTCTTTCTCTACAATGAATTTGGACCAATTTCTATTGCAGAGTAAAACATTATCACAGCAAATGAGAGCATATCTAGCACTCGTATTTAATAATAATAATAATCAATATTTAAACAGGGTGACCCCTTCAGTCGCAGGACTGGTATCAACGGGGGCCCTGTATAACGTAAAATAAAAAGAGCATGT